AATTTACTCTGTAAATCTTCACCCAAATCCTAAAAAAAAAAAAAAATATCCCTTCGAGTCTTCTTTAAACCAAGTAATAGTTTAGCTTAACTGTAAAGAATCTTTTGAGCATTATGCTCTTTTAAGAACTATCTATAACAGATCAAGGTGACAACAGCAACTCAAAACCAAAGGTTAGACAGGAACCTTTGGAGGAGTTTATGTTAACAGGAGAAGAACAATTAGGAAAAGGAAGGTGAGAATGACTGTATAACCTGAAGAAAGTAATCAGTATCACTGAATTGTACATGTAGAAAATACTGAATTGATGTATGTTCTAGGTGTGAACTCACTAAGAGTCAGAGACGACTCGATGGTATCTAACAACAACCAGGTGTGTAGTCTCCACAACAACAGCAAAGCATGAGAGGTGCCTGGAACATCTTACTGGGCCAGAAAGTAAGGTAACAGTCAAAGAACAATGGGGACAGGATGAAAGGACACAGGAGCCAGCTTAAAGGAGCTCCCACAGGTCATCTCTAGGACAACAAACAGTTAAAAATAAATGATAGCTATAGATTCAAACCCTGAACTAAAACAAAATCCACTAGCGCACAGACACAAAGTTAATGAATTGATTAAAAGCTTGATGAGGAACAAGGTATTTACATATTTTCAAAGTACCTCCTCATATAACAAATATTAATCACAGGGCAAGTAACGTGCCAAAGGAGAAGCCCAGCAGACGTCATCACGAGCAGCAGCACACATCAGCCAGGAAGCATATGGACCACACAACAGAACGCAGTGAGAAGCAGACATACTATGCAACTGCCATCCAAGATGCACTACCTGGACTCTAATTACATGGAAACATCAGACAAACCCAAATGAACAGACATTTTATAAAATAACTGGCTTGTATTATAAGGTAAAAATTTACACCAGGTAGGTGCACCCCATAGAACAATCACTCCTGGGAGATCAGAAGTGCAGTATTTGCACAAAGAGACAGGTCAGTGGTCAGGAATGCATAGGAAAGACAGACATAGGGAAAAAGTAACCCAAGGAAGTGGGAAGAGAGCTGTTACATTATGGGGAGAGCAATCAATGTCATGAAACAAAATTGTATAAGAACTGCTGTGTGGAAAACGAATTTGCTCTGTAAACTTTCACCCAAAACCAACAAACTCCAAACTCACTGCCGTTGAGTCATTTCCAACTCACAGAGACCCCTCCTTGCGTTTCTGAGGTGGTGTATCTATGGAAGTAGATTGCCCAATCTTCTTTCTGAGGAGTGGCTAGCGGGTTTGAACCGCCAGCCTTCTGGTTAGCAGTCAAATGTCTTAGGCACTATGCCATCAGAGCACCTAAATCATAATCAAAAAGAAACCACTAGCTTGTAATTTTCCAAAGTATCATAAAATCTAGATGAATGCGTAATTCTGAACTGGGTCCCTCTGCCATTAAGGACATCATCAAAACAACTGGTAAAATCTGAATAGGGTCTGAGGATCAGATAGCATGATGCCCTGATGGGACTTTTCTGATTTTGATA